ATGTCTTAGAAGATCTTGCATGAAAGCTTCTTCTTGCGCTTCTTGCTCTGCAGTGCTGCCCTTGCGGCCGTTTCAAAGACCTCCCTCACCCCATCGTTGGTCTTGGCCGAACACTCCATGTACTTGGCAGCATTGATCTTGACCGCCATCTGGTGACCTTCGTCGTACGTGACGGGGGTCTGCTTGGTCCGCTGCAGCTCCATCTTGGTGTTGTCGTCGTTACGAAGGTCCTTCTTGTTACCCACCAGGATGATGGGCACGTTGGGACAGAAATGCTTGACCTAGACAGGACAGGAAGAGATGAAAGAGAGAACAGTATTACACAAAATTTCACAACTAAAAAGACCTTCAGGATCATTCTTTTTTACCCCTATAAATCTGTTTAAATTCATGACCAGATAAAGAAGTTGAATTTGAATATCCTCAACCGTGCTACAAGTACATCTAAAGGTATTGTATCATAAAAAGTAGTTTCTTATATTTGTCATAAAACGAAAGAGATTATGTATTAGAAATTAAAAATTGACCACCTCACTAAATATCAGTACAAGTACCGGCATGCAATTCTTAAATTATTACAGGGCGGCTACAGACGACCCCATCTAAAAATGTACATGTACCTCAATACCTCTAATTCACATATTATATTTTAAGTAGAAATTGTAAACCTATAGGTGGTAGTGTAACCTTTTAACAATTGATTGATGCAAAACATTTTTTTGTTCTTACCTCTGGTGTCCATTTCTCAGGGATGTTTTCTAAACTGTCTGGATTGTCGATAGCAAAGCACATGAGTATAACGTCTGTGTCTGGATATGAGAGCGGTCTCAGTCTGTCGTAGGCTTCCTGACCTGCTGTATCCCATAATGCTAATTCAACCTGGACAAAAGAAAGAAAGAAAGGAAAAGAGTTGGTTAATTTTTCATGTTACATCAATTTATCCTTTTTTCCAACAACAAAATCCAAAAAATATCATACAAGTTCATGACCAATAAATGTTGCAACATTTTCATTGAGTATTCATCATACTGTAAACGCTGTTATTTTCGCATGATTAATTTTTCGCACTGAGCGACCTCAAAACATATTCGCGGGTTCTTAAACTTGCGTTGCACCGTTTGCACGCAATTCTGCCCATTCAAAACATTTAAGTCATGCTTATATATTCGTGGACACTGACTTTAGCGCAAAATCTGTGAAAATTAAAGCAATATTACTACGTTTAAAGTAACTGAAAACATAAACAGGTCTGCAATCTGCATCGTTCCTGGGGAAGTGATTCAAGAGAAAAATGCTTTCCAATTTAAGTTCCTCATCATTCATCACCATGATTGTCATCACTCAAGTTTATTCATCTGTAGTATTTATTTTACAATTACAGTGAACCAGTATTGTACATGTACGTATGTACATGTACAGTCAAACATGTCAATAGCGACCTGTAGACAGGTTCCTTAAGTACATGTTTCAATGAGAAACCATTTTCAAGGGAAACAAACAAAATGTGGTCTTTGTAGACAGGTGGGTCAGGTGGTCATTGTAGACAGGTAGTCACTAATGCAGGTTTGACTTTATACAATGTACATGTTTATGTGCATTTTTTCTGCATTTGATTTCTTCTACTTACTATTTTTCCCTTTGTCACAGTTTACAAAAATTAAGTTGAAGTTACACTACAGACATAATTTGCATACCAGTACTGTAAAGATGTAACGACTAGACATTCATAAACTGTTCCTTGCATGATTCTGTGGACAGCATGACTACATAAATGTAAGAATCAAATGATAAGTAAAAACATCTCACCTGTTTGCTATCTACTTCTAGAGCAGCTACATAGCTCTCAAATACTGTTGGGACGTAGACTTCAGGGAACTGGTCTCTGCTAAATACTGTGAGCAGACACGTCTTTCCACAAGCACCATCTCCAACGATGACCAACTTTTTCCTAATCGCAGCCATATTATTTTGTTTCGGTGAATCGGTAAAATCTCGCCCTGTGTGAGGAAAACGGAAAAGAAACATCATTTAACGGTTTATGTATGTACATGGACTGCCAACACATACAGTTGTAGGGTTAGGATTAGGTTTAGAGATACACATGTAATATGAACTTTAAGTTTAAATATTACTTCTAAATAAAGCTAAAGCATGACATTTCATATACTGACCTCTATGACCCTCAACCTTTGACCTGCTTTACTGCAAAATCGAATTAGATAGTCTTCCTATAGTGATTCATACTATCACCTTGTTTGAAGCTTGGTAGGTTTCATGAAACCGTCATAAGTACAAGTTCACCGACATCCCATTGAAACGCGTGTTAAACTTAATGGATGTCTGTGAACTTGTACGTACATGTATGACGGTTTTGTAAGACGCTGCCCTGTACATTACCTCTATTGTTGGTTCGATATCACGATAGCGAGGCTACAATGTAATTCAAAAAATTAAAAATGTAATACCTGGAATTTTGGAAATTGACCTCAAAGACCTTTGACCTACCTAATGTACATAGATGTACTTCAAAATCTAATGAGATCATCTTCCTATTGGAAATTGACCTCAAAGACCATTGACCTACCTAATGTACATAGATGTACTGCAAATGGGACATAGATTTAGACTAGATCTAGTACCTTTAAAGCAAGCGCACAGTTTTTTTTTTTTTTTAATTTGCGAAGCATTTTTAATCAATCGCAACTCTTTACTTTACCTTATAACACAGGGCCCTGATTAAGCATTAAAAGAAGTACAATAGAAAGTCCTTGTCAATTTGAAGTCAACATAACCAAGTTACACATGTAGGCTGCAGTACTACTAGTACTGTCTAGGCTGTATACACGTATCACACCATCTACCACAACGCATCGACCACCGCCACCGGAGAGGGAACCGGTGCAGCCGATGACAAAGCTAGGCTCCAGCCTAGTCTAGGTAAATGCAACGGTGGTGGGCTTATACCATAAGGGTGGGTAGCGTCGCGTCGCGGCGCGTTGACTTGAACGCGACCATTCGTCCAAAGCCCCCCCCCCCCCCCCGGTTTGACCGAAAGGGTGCGTTGGATTGTTAAGGCGCGTCAGGTCAGATAATGCGACCAAATGGCACATACGGGGGGGGGGGGGGGGCTTATTGCAATGACGACCTTCGTCATTGCCTTGTTTTCGTTCACATTCTGCCCCATTAATATTCTCCTTTTCCTTTTCCTTTTCCTTATCCTTATCCTTATCGTCAGGAAATCGCATTCGTTTTGCACGTAGTGTTTGTGATTCCTAGTTAGGTGCTTTCCTCATGTCCTTTTCCTTTCAAATTTCATAGGCATAGTCTCTAACATCTCATCAAGGTCACTACATTCTTCGATTTTGGAAATCACTCATGCATGACCGTCCAGGCGCCATTTTGTCTGTTTCTGGTCCATTTTAAGGCCTTTATATCTTCCTTCCTATCTCCACTATCCTAGATCCTACAAACTTCTAACAAATTCCTCTAGATAGTCTGAGAGATGTTCTTTCATCTGCGACGTATGACTTGACCTTCAAAATGCCATCTTCATACTCGAAATTCAAATCTAAAACCGACTCCGTCAAAAATCTCTCAAGTTCTTGAAAAATGGACCCCTAAATAAGCTAAAACTGCCATAACTTTCTCATATAGATTCCGTTTTGTATTTAAATCTCACAGTATCTTTATCTCATAATTGCACATAGCCATGCCAAATTTCACGCTCCAATGGCTTTGCACAACATAAATAGCGCCCTCTAAAGTTCTGGGAATTGGCTTTCTCTTTGTGGCCGTATCTCCATAATGGCTTGGCAAACCCGTACCCTTTTTTGGATTTAGATACTTGAAGATATGCTCTTTCCAGCCATATACAAAATTATATACCCTATCACTGACCAAATTTGAGAAAATTGCCCTCCAAATTCGCCATTTTCAAGAAAATTCCGAAATAACTTCAACTTGCTCTAAAATGGCGATCTTTATACCTACATCAATGAAACTTGGCAGACATATGTATCCATATACGTGACAACTGTCTGCAAAGTTTGGTAAATTTTAATAACGTCAGCGCAAAGTTATCTCCAAAAATGATGAATTTGCTATGCATTACGTAATAGCGCCTTTAATGCGTGCAGTACATTGCGTGCAGATGACAATGGTGTCAAACTGACCGCAATGAAGTGCCCTTTCGAATGATACCAAGTATGGTATATGTTTACACAGAAAATTGTGAGTAAATCGCATTTGAACAAGGGTCACTATACGAATTCCGCCCGATTATAACACTTATCGGCCATGACGTCATTTTTTTCAGACTACTTTTCGCCCCCTAAACATCCTTTTTTTTCCTTGAAAATTTGCAATGACATTCCGAGATGCAATACGCAGGGCACCTCGTGGCCGGATTTTTAAAATTGGTCAAGGGGGCCATTTAAGACGCCATTTTGTCCTTTAAATCTATTTTACATCACATGTTTCGATAGGATTATCATAGAAAAAAAAAGAGTAGTTTACAATAACGACCATGAAATTCTCTTTCCAATGATACCATATACGGCCCATAAAGAGACATAAAGAGAGAGAGAAAAAACAATTTAACTCCGGTCATAATACAGATCCTCTACGTTTTCCGCCCATGCATTACACGCATTGTCTATGGGGCAAATCGGGTTCACGCTTTTGACCCCTAGAACGATCTTGATTGCAATGACGAACATGCAACTAATCCCATTTGTTTTTGCACGCAGTGCTGGCGAGCCCTTTCTAGGTTCTTTCCCCTATCCCAATTTCTTTCAAACAGCGTAGGCATAGTCAATACCATCCCATCAAGGTCACTGTTGAGGCCTTTCTTTCGCCCTACCTGTCTCCAATATATCAGAAGCTAAAGACTTCGTACAAATTGCTCTGGATAGTCCGAGAGAAGCTCTTTCGTTCGACACGTAGAAACACGGCGTCATTGCACGCACATCGTTGTGACACGATTGCATTTCTAGTTCCAAATGTACCCGTTCAGAGCATCGAAGTTTCAAGTAAGAGCACTGAAGAGAGACTGGACACGTGCGACCGGGCTTCAAGCTTCCTGATCATTTTCGTGGTGAGTTTATATGAGTATTCCTGCATATTATCCTGTTTTTTGTGTGGTACGTGTTTAAGTATACTAGTAAAATGTCAGAATATAGAAGTTTATGTTTTTTTGCCAAGTGTTAAACCGTAATGTTGTATTAAACTGAACTTGATGATCGGATCGTGCAGTTGATCGGATTGACTGAGATCAGTCCCATGTGCTTAATTTGGCGTAATCTTTCAGAACTAACTAGGTCTAAGGGGCTACTTAATGAGGCTCTATTAAAGACCGTCAATACTACTGGGCCAGAAGGGATTAGACCACACAGCGAGGTCACTGACAGGTGGCTATCTCATTAACTCAGCTCTCAACTAACATAAGAAAAAGAGGATCATGGGGAACCAACGGCAACAGGCACAAATTGGGGAAGTTTTCTATATAGTCTAGACATGCTAGAGGGAGCTCGGAGCAAGTAGCTACAATACAAGTGAAGTACACTGTCGCCATAAAGGTGGAATATTTCAGTTTTACCCCAATTTATTGAATTATTTTAAAAATTATTTAAAAATAACAGATCTAGATAATAGTATACAATCTCAGATTTTATTGAATAATAATTTGCCAATGTGTGTTTTGCGGTACTGCTAAAGCATGTGTATGCTACTATACTCATTAACTAAGGGACCTACGCCCTCAAGTCATAAATGACAGTAATGAGGATTAATGCCCCACAAAAGAGCATTAATATAGCACATCGACACGGTTTTGGTCCTGAGGCCTCACAGTTATGAGGCGTTTGTTTTGTCACTGAACCATGACTGTACGCATTGGGGGCTAGGGTAGGGGGCAGTTTCCATAAATAAAAAAAAACACAGAAAATGCAATAAATTTTCAATAATTTATTGCATTTTACCCCGGTCCCCAAAATAAAAAAATCCTCTGGTCGGCCATGCATTATGACTTAAGGCATGGGCACACAAAAGATTTTTTATGTTGGGAACCGGGGTAAAATGCAATAAATTATTAAAAATTTATTGCATTTTCTGTGTTTTTTTAATATTTATGGAAACTGACCCCTTTAAATAGACTTCTAAATCACTAAAGAGAAAACATATGATTGCTTATTAAAAATAAAATAAAGGAAAGAAAGAAGAGGAAAAAGAAGAAAAGAGGGAGACGGGGGCAAAGGGCTCGTGCCTCCCCCCCCCCCCCCCCGCCAAAAAATAAATAAGAGAGAGAGAGAGAGAAGGGAAAGGGAAAGAGAAGATTAAGGAAAGAAGAAAAGAGGGAGACGGGGGCGAAGGGCTCTTGCCTCCCCCCCCCCCCCCGCCTAAAAATAAATAATAGAGAGAGAGAGAGAGAGAGAGAGAGAAGGGAAAGGGAAAGAGAAGATAAAGGAAAGAAAGAAGAGGAAGAAGAAGAAAAGAGGGAAACAGGGGGCGAAGGGCTCTTGCCTTTCACCCGCCCCCCCCCCCCCCCCGCCAAAAAATAAATAATAGAGAGAAAGAGAGAGAGAGAAGGGAAAGGAAAAGAGAAGATAAAGGAAAGAAGAAGAAAGGGAGACGGGGGCGAAGGGCTTTTGCCTCCCCCCCCCCCCCGCCAAAAAATAAATAATAGAGAGAGAGAAGGGAAAGGGAAAGAGAAAGAGAAGATAAAGGAAAGAAAGAAGAGGAAGAAGAAGAAAAGAGGGAGAGGGGGGCAAAGGGCTCTTGCCTCCTCCCCCTCCCCCCCCCCCCCGCCTAAAAATAAATAATAGAGATAGAGATAGGTATGCAAGAGCCCTTAGCCCTTTGCCCCCCCCCCCCCGCACAAAAGAGAGACATAGAGAGAGAGAAGGAAAAGAAGAGAAAGGGAAAGAAAGAAGAAGAAAAAAGTGGGGGGAAAGGAGATCGGGGAGGGGGGCGGCGAAAGGCCCTTTCCCCAGCAAACCTAAAACAGAGAGAAGGAAGGGAAAGGAAAATAGGAGAGAAAGGGAAAGGAAAATAGGAGAGAAAAAAGAAAGGTAGGGGAGATCAGCTACGATTAGAAAAAAGGGGGGAAAGGAGATCGGGGGGCCGAAAGGGCCTTGCCTCCCAGCTGTTACCCCCCCCCCCCCCATCAAAAAAAAATAGGAAGAAGAAAAGAAAAGAGTAAAAAGAAGGGGAGAACAGTTGCGATTAATCCCGCCAACAAATTGTGGATGGGGGGGGGGGCGGCGAAAGGCCCTTTCCCCAGCAAACCTAAAACAGAGAGAAGGAAGGGAAAGGAAAATAGGAGAGAAAGGGAAAGAAAAAAGAAAGGTAGGGGAGATCAGTTACGATAAGAAAAAAGGGGGGAAAGGAGATCGGGGGGGCGAAAGGGCCTTGCCTCCCAGCTGTTACCCCCCCCCCCCCATCAAATAATAAGAGAGAAGGAAGGAAAGGGAAAGGAAAAGAGGAGAGAAAGGGAAGGAAAAAATAGGGAGAAGAAAAGAAGGGGCACCCCCCCCCCCACAAAAAAAATGGGGGAAGGGAAAGATAAAGAGGAGAGCTAAAAGGGAACAAAAAAGAGGAAAAGGAAAAGGAAAAGAAAAGGGTAAAAAGAAGGGAACAGTTGCGATTAATCCTGCCAACAAACCTAAAACATTGGCGTAGTAATGGGGGTGGGGTGACAGATGCCAAATATAATTCAAACGTGGTTTATTTCTTATTCGATACCCTTGATTTACAAGATTATTATTTTTTAAATACTTTTTAAATATGTTAACACATCCTTTCGGCCATACCGGGGGGGGGGGGGCTTTGGACGAATGGTAGCGTTCAAGTTAACGCGACGCGACGCGACACTCCCAACGCACCCTTTCGGTCAAACCGGGGGGGGGGGGGGCTTTGGACGAATGGTCGCGTTCAAGTCAACGCGCCGCGCCGCGACGCTACCCACCCTAATGGCATAAGCCACGGTGGTGTATCTGTCCGCCCGGTGCCGTTGCAGAAATCGAAATCCTAAACTTGCCTTCGACCTTCCGAAAAATTCTTCGATAACACACGTAACTAAAGTAACAGCAATAAATACAAGAAAGTGCTTAAAACTCACCAAAAAGTTGCAACTGCAAGCTACGGGGGCATCAAAAATATAATAGCTTATTTATTGTGCTCAAATTCTTGTGTTAAATCCAAATTTATCCGTTTGACAATCGAATCCATGAGCTGGTTTACCTATGCAGCGCTTATTCTCTGTACGCGTCTACTGTGAACATCTCACTCGAGGTCGGTGGTATTTATACGTTGTACCCGTGCATTCTAAAAATAGCACCCGGATAGCTCTTTCATTGGTTGAAAGAGAAATTACGAAATCTTCCAAGCTTTAGACAGTTTGAACATTACAGAATAAAGATGTTTTTAATCACATTCACATCTATTGCGATGTATTCTGTTTGTCTTTGATATAAGATCATTTTGCATGTAAAATATATGAACATCACTGGGATTAGAACATTCATTGTAGGCCTAATTAGATTTGAAAGTCCTTGTTTTTACATGTCTTCTTCACTTTATGCCAATAAATATAAACTATTCAAACTGGGAACAAAACAAATGAACAGTAATTAAAATTATTTTATAAGCAACGATAATGGAACATAAAAGTATTTCTTTATATACATAAAAAGGGGCAACATGAACAATTTTGACAAATCCTGCAACATGGGAGAAAAGTATCAAAACTCATCAAAAATTATCAAAATCATCAAAAGTGGTCAATTCTAATTCAATTTCAAATCTCGACTTCTAGTTAAAAGCACATTATTTTACTGAAATTCAGGGCCCTTTTCACGAAAACTTGATAGTGTAAAGTTTGATGACAAATTTACTAACAGCCAATCAAATTATTATCTGTTATTGTGTATACCTTATGATATAATTCTATATAACAGAGGGTCATCTTTAAAAAATATAGATTGTGCATAAGAACACTGAGTTTCAAGTCCGAATGATTTTGCAAGATGAACTGGAAAGTTTTCGTTTCCTTTCCATCTTCTCTTTTATAGAGTTATGATGGAAGAAAACACTGAAGCAGAATTGTGATAAGTAATAGACCAACTACATATTTATCAAATTACTAAGGATAAAAGCCACTGTTGATTAGGCTAGGCCAAAACAGACCGTGAATTCGGATTAAATGTTATTATGCCCTTGAAGTTTCCTTGCTCACTTCATCTACATAATGTTATTCTTTAAAAATATTGTGAATTGATAATAGGACCTATATACCCTCACATACACACATGTTTTGAACAATTTTATTTGTTGCATTTAAACTGAGAGCAGGGTAATGGATGGCAGCAAAATTAAAGACAATATGAAAGAACAAAATAGAATATGAATTAAAGGCAACATGAAAGAACGAAATAGAATATTAAATATTCTATTTTGTTCTTTCATATTGTCTTTAATTTTGTTGCCATCAAATTTTGATGAAGTATAGATAGATAGAACAATGGTAATACCTTGAAGTACATGTCAAAATAGGTTGTTATATTAATTTTAATTAAGTTCTATATGTAAATGGGAGTGAAATATGGTGTACAACCATTCTTCACCCTGATATTTTTTTTTTCATCCACAAAATATAGTTTATGATTTTATATTATGTTAAGCCCATTACACGTTTTCTGTATAAACACATAATAATGAAAGAAATTAAAAAACAAGAACTTTACTCGGCATATTGCAAGCGTTGAAATAGAATTGATCGAATGTCTAAGAATAGAACACAAAACTGCCGAAAACAGAATTGGTCATGTTTGGGTGTGTATACCATCCAAATGACTCATACAATACCAATTCCGAGATGGCGCTGTTCACATTTTGGTAAAATAATATCGATAGTAATGTGGCGTAGCGTGTCAGGCGAATGCGGCGAGGGAACTCGGGGTAGGTGGTGGTGGTGGTGATGGTGGTGGGGGGGGGGGGGCACTGAACTTGTCTATACGTGGAGTAGAGTAGAGTGCAGTTGGGGAGTACTCCATCCCGCCCCTCCCCCTTTCTGGAAAAAATGTAACTGAAAACGTATACAACGCGTCATAAGTAGCGTCATTTAATACCCTTAATTATCTCTCCTTTCTCTCTCTCTCTCTCTCTCTCTCTCTCTCTCTCTCTCTCTCTCTCTCTCTCTCTATCTTGGTATTTTGATGGTTAATTATCTACCCAGTCTCTGTTATGAGGCATACGTTTATGATGAGCAGACAGAATATAAACATAAGAAGACTAATCTTGATTCTGTTATTTTCAAACTAACTAAATTAGGAAAATGCATCAAATGCTCTTTAGACCAAATATAATTTATAGGCCTCGCCTATTTTTAGATTGCATACGTTGGGTGCAAAGGTATAAAAGGATTGCACTCACACACCGCACCCCTCCGCACCCTTTCGATGAAAGCCGGAACGTACTGCAGGCCTAAACTTGATCATCATCATTTCCGTTCAGTTCCGTATCATTACTATATTTATTGTGTTTGAAACATATTCAATCTGTAACACCAATTATCATGGACATGAACTGATTTCCACAAACGTTTACCATTTTCGGGACCATTTTGCCTTACATTACAACTTTTATTGGTAAGTATAGTACTCTTTGGTTTCTTTCTGAATTTCATAATGACACAAGTGTGATTTGAGTAAGGGAGGTTTGTAAATTAAGGGGAGCAGTGAAGCACGTACCGTTTAAGAGCCGTATTCTGATGTTGTATTTTGTTTTTCTGTATGTATTTTTGTGTATTTCTGCATGTAACGTGTAAGACTGGTGGTGACGCAGATTTTTCGTCTGCCCCACCCCCCCCCCCCCCTTCCGAACTTTTTTCTCATTATGTCACTGCCCCTGGAATGTGAGCCCCCTGGAATGTTTGCCCCCCCCCCCCCATCCCAAACTGCTTCCGGTGCGCCTTGTAGTCAGTAGATTTTATTGTACTTAATTATATTTAATATTTTCTCAGTTGTTTAGTTAGTTTAGTTTTGTAAGCATTTAAATGTACGCATTATTTTTATTTGACGAGGCAAGAGCCCTTCGCCCTTCCCCGTTTCCCTCTTTCCTTCTTATTTTTCTTCTTTCTTTCTCTTTCCCTTCTCTCTCTCTCTCTCTCTCTTATTTATTTTTTTGGCGGGGGGGAGGTAAGAGCCTTTCGCCCTTCCCCCGTTTCCCTCTTTCCTTCTTCCTCTTCTTTCTTTCTTTCCTTCTATATTTTCTTTCCCTTTCCCTTTTCCTTCTCTCTCTCTCTTATTTATTTTTTGGCGGGGGGGTGAGGAGGAGGCAAGAGCCCTTCGCCCCCCCCCCCCGTTTCCCTGTTTTCTTCTTAGGCTATTCTTCTTTCTTTCCTTTTATCTTCCCTTTCCCTTTCCCTTTTTTCCTTCTCTCTATCTCCCCCATCAACATAGTAATAACGAAAGAGACCACACTGTAATTAAGACCATTTCATTTTATTTATTACATTTTCGATATACTTAAATTGGCAACTATTACCTTCTGTCCCAGATCCTCATTTTAAACGACTGATGCGAAAGACTAGTCGACGCAACCTTTCGAGAAAAGCCCCCCCCCCCCCCCCCCCCGCTTTTATCGAAAGGGTGTGTTAAAACGGTACTCCGCTCTCAACGCAACCTTTCGAGAAAAGCCCCGCGCCGCACCCCACCGCACCCTTTCGATGAAAGCCGGAACTGCAGGCCTAAACTTGATCATCATCATTTCCGTTCAGTTCCGTATCATTACTATATTTATTGTGTTTAAAACATATTCAATCTGTAACACCAACTATCATGGACATGAACTGATTTTTCACAAACGTTTATCATTTTGCCTTACATTACATCTTGTATTGGTAAGTATAGTACTCTTTTGTGTCTTTCTGAATTTCATAATGACACAAGTGTGATTTGAGTAAGGGAGGTTTGTAAATTAAGGGGAGCAGTGAAGCACGTACCGTTTAAGAGCCGTATTCTGATGTTGTATTTTGTTTTTGTTCTACCGTGTTTCTTAGCTTGTCTTTTTCTTATTCTCCTTTTCTGCTTCGATTACAAAAATGTACCATGGCAACCATGTCCAAATTACCATCCACTATGGTAACCATGGTTATCATGGTACCAAAACAATGAAATACATTGTTTAATGACCCAAAGTATTTCATTGTTTTGGTACCATGATAACCATGGTTACCATGATGGATGGTAATTTGGACAAAAGTACCATAGTTTCCATGGTACATTTTTGTAAGGATCTCCTTATTCTTCTCTTTCTTCTTCTCATTCCCCCTTTTCTCTTTTTCTTTTCCTCTGCTTCTCCTTCTCCTTCTACTTCTTTTTCTTCTTCTTCTTCTCTTCTCTTCTTCTAAGTTCTACTTAATTCTTACCATTTCTTCAACTACAGTTGAATCTAATCTGATGTATAGAGTTTTATAAAGAGCTATATAGTTCAACACAGGCGTGACGAATAGGTAGGCCTTATGATAACTGCCCCGTGTTATAATTTGTGTTATTTTCTTTCAGTGTTGAACTAGAGAATGGCTATTAGTACTATCAGGACAGACGTGTCCATAGTTGGGAGCCAATGCGGGAAAACGAGTCTCCAATCTGCATTCGTCAAAGGCAGATTCGACCCTCGAGATTTTAACATCTCGAGAGCTGAAATTGAGGGAACGTCTTGCATAGAAGTAAATGGCCAAAAGGTACGTTTACACAAACTCAGCTCAGTGCAGCTGAGCGGTGGAGAAGTCAGAGTATGAATAACTAAAAATTAATTAAAACAAAAAAGATAGACAACAATTGTCGGTGCGTCTAGCCATTACGAGGGGACTGGTGTATGGGGGCGGGGGATAGGGGCACCGGTTTATGAGGTGGATGCATAAAGCACGACAAAGAACAAGCCATCGAGCGTGGATATTCGTTCCTCTCCTCGTCTCGCTCTCTTTTGTGTGTGTGTGTGTGTGGGGGGGGGGGGGGGGTGGCACCAACAATTAAGCTTGGTTTAAAAACTTTTATTTCTGCAGTGTGCATGGTAATTAAAGGGACACTCCAAAAATACCTTACTTTCAATAGAAGCAGAAAAATCAGACTAACTAATCAAAAAAGGTTTGAGCAAAATCGGATAACTAATAATCACAAGACAAATTGGCAACTCACTAATGAGTCTGTGACGTCATTGCCTCACTTTCCACTAATTGTTTTCTTTATATTGACAAAATAAATTTCCAATTTCCCCCCTAAAGATCTTATTTTCTCACACCAGCATCCAAGTTATATTGATATTTAGATTGATGTTTTTGTGTGGATGCACTAATTTAGAGTATTTTTTTTCTTCTTCAGTTAAATCATGAATAATGTGAATTTTGATAAACTATTTATATAAAAATCAATGATTATGAATATACAATATTCAGAAAATAGTATAAATCCTTCAAAGTTCATAAAAGGTTTTGTGAAATGTCATGCACGCAATATGATACAAATCATAAAACCTGGGCAAAGGCATGGGGAAATCAAGTTTTTGTAGATAAAAAGGGAAATTATAATGGGAAAAAAATACATAAAGAAATATAAATAGAAAGGCAATGACGTCACAAACTGATAACCAAATTGGCAATTCGTGTAGTGATTTCCTAAGTTCCATACTCTTTCATACTTTAAAATAAACAACTTATAACTACCTTAATAAGTATTCGATTTTACTCAATTTTTTGGCTGTGTTTCTCTTGTTTTTCTGCATCTATTAAAAGCAATTTATTTTTGGAGTGGACTTAGCCTAAAAAATCTCACTACCTCGAAATTTGAATAGTCTGATCATGGACTTACTAGACATAGTAAGTTCATGGTCTGATAAAGACGGAAAGAATAAATCATTTTGAATTAATTAATAGATAGCTCTGTAATCTTTGTAACATGTTGCAGTGTTTACAATATGCCTTAGCTTTACATTGCAACCAAGCTACGTGAAATCACATACAAATTAAGAATAATACAATAATTATCTGCCCATTTTAATATCATGACTGCATTTCTGCAGAATATCTTTGTACGTAGACGTGCAAATTTCACAAACCTCTAGGAAATGTATTATTATATAGTTGTTGGATGTTTACTAAATATAGTATTTGATTGTAGCACCAGTCTTATTTATCACGATTGCTAGATTGAGCTGGGAATATGGGATACACCAAGTCAAGAATTGTATGGAAGACTGAGAACTGACTTCGCATACCCCAAGACGGATGTTGTAGTTCTTTGCTTCTCGTTTGATAAACCCAACAGTTTTGAAGACATCTCGAAGAAATGGATACCAGAGGTGAGACATAATGGTTCTCCGCAGTCAATATCCTAACGTAGATTAAAAGAAATTCTTATCTTTAACCCGACCCTGCATGGACCAAACACTATGGCCCGAATTCACAAAGCAAGGTTTGAGCTCAGACCAAGGTTTGAGCTCAAACCTCCTTTTGTTTCGCCAAACCTCCTTTTGTCATTTACAAACCTGGTTTGTAAATAACAAAAGGAGGTTTGGCGAAACAAAAGGAGGTTTGAGCTCAAACCTTGGTCTGAGCTCAAACCTTGCTTTGTGAATTCGGGCCTATTAGTCCAGTCAATCTAGCGATATTTAGGGGGTAACCCACCACCTCTACCTAACCACAACCCTGACCCTAAACCTTACCCAAACCCCATTGCAAAAAAAACAACCTATCGCAATAATTACCTTTGACAGAAGAAAGCCAGGGGCAAATGTTGGCAGCCCCGTTCCGGTTGATCTCATCTTATTGAAATGTTAAAAAGTTTTAAACATCATATTTAAGCGTTAGGGATTGGTGATCTTTTAGTTAATAGCTTATTACACCCTTTAGAGGGGCATGATATCTTAGTAATGTCCCTAATTTTGTCCCTGTGGTAGAACCTATGGGCAAAGACAAGGTCAAAGGTAAACGGTCAAAGCTGTAGGCTTCCCTTGGAATGTTACAGTATTCGAAAGGATGAAGATCAGTAGGTTTACATTGTTGAAATAGATCAGTATTCTCTTTTTTTCCTCATCAATATGTAAATGGGACCGTCAATACCTATAAAACATTTAATGAAGTTGGTAGACAAAGGGGACTGTGGTAAAAAAATGTAACCGGTTTTACATAACAAGTTTCCTGTGCTTGGCATGAAAATAATATTAAAACAGTTATGACCTGGAAGTGAATATAATTATGGCTGTCTGAAATCAAGTCAGTAGAAGCAAATATATACAGATCATAATATATATAGCGCTTTCGGTGGAAAGCGCTTTATAAGTAACGTTTTTATTATTTATTATTATTATTATTATATTTTATCAATGGTCTGTACGTTTTTTTTAAATCCCTTTTTTAATAGGTGAAGAAGTACCTCCCAAAGGCACCTATCATTTTGGTGGGGAACAAGAAAGATCTTCAAAGTGACAAGGATACAATACAAGAATTGTTAAAGGAGAATCAGGAACCGGTTAAAACAGAGGATGCCCAGGCCCTAGCAGAAAAGATCGGCGCCATTTCATATCTAGAATGCTCGGCCAAGGAGAACAAAGGCATCAGAGAAGTATTTGAGGCTTTAGCATTGGCAGGAATAAAACAGGATGAAAAGAAAAAGTCATCGAAATGCACCATCTTTTGAAAAAAATAAACCTAAGGTATCAGATTTCTGGCTTATCTGGGGGGTTGAAAATCGCTGATCGGACCAATTGGAATAAAAGTTCACCAGGAAAACCGTTTTTCATAACGAGTAAACTATTTTGATATAATATTATGTAAAGTCTTTACTTTTCTATTCTCATATATGTTTGTCATAAGCAGAGGCGGCACTCCGGGGGAAGGGGGGGGGGGGGCGGAGGGGCATATGGGTACAGTGCTCCAGTTTTTTTAAGTGCCCCTTTTAACATAGGAAATGTGCCCTTTTTTACTTTGACAAGTGCCCCTTTTCCTTTAAATAAGTGCCCCATTTATTTTGACATTGCCCATTTCCCTTGTGATAAGTGCCCCCCATTTTTGTTTATAACGAGCCCTTCCCCTCTTCATAAACGCCCCCTGTTCACCTCTGATAAATTAATGATTAGTACCCCCCCCCCCACATTTTTTTTTGATAACGAGCTCTTCCCCCTTTTCATTTTGACAAGAGCCCTTTTTCCTTTCGTATAAGTGCCCCGTTTCCTTTTTTGATTAAAGGCCCCTTCCCCTTCTCATTAATGCCCCCTTTTACCTCTAATAAGTGCCCCTTTTTATATAGCATTTATTCTTGCCACTCATTATAGTTTCAGGGGCGGATCTAGCTTTTTGCTAAGGGGGGGGTGACCAATAATGACGATGCGGAGCATCGTCCACGAGCCGCGAAGCGGCGAGCCGATTTTTTTTTGGGTGTTTATTTGAACCCCGTAAGTGATGTTTTCCTGGCATCTATTAACACAATGGAGACCGTAAAAAGCAGTGCATGAACACGTCCGTATTACACCCCCATGTATGGTAATTTACCCTGTATGCCAACTTTTTTGCATGATTCAAACATACCTTCCAGTAAAAAAAGATGCGAGACTGGATTGCCGCAACTTCTTTGCCCTGTTTGCTTCCATATTGCTTGTCACTACACTCAGACCAGACTGATATTGATAAAAAAGTGAGCAACTTGAACAAGTAATCCAGGAAATGAGCAGCCCAGCTCAGCGTGCGTTGCCAGGTTAAATCTTCACAAAATCCCCACCCAAACGACACTTAAAATATCCCCAAAGTTGCCAAATTTTGACAGAAAATCCCCAAATTCGTTTTTCATAAAACTCAATATTATTTTCATTCCCAAATATTTATTTTTCATCCCCAAAGACTTCAACAATCCCCAATTTTTTTTTTTTTTTTAATGTGGGGATTTTGGGGATGAGAATCGGCAACGCTGGCCTAGCTTGTCACTTCGGCGGTGGCCCGTGTCCTCAAAAAAGCTGATGGGGGGGGGGGGGGGCAAGGGACTCTGTGACATTTGTTCGCCCAACCCCCCCCCCCCTCCCCCCCCCCCCTCCCCCCCAAAAAAAAAAAATAATAATAATAATAATAATAATAATAATAATAATAATAATAATAATAATAATAATAAATGAAATAAATACATAGAAATAGAATAAAATAAAATTACAAGTTTAAAAAAAAAGATAAGATTTAAAAAAATAGTCCCCGGATTTTTTTTGGGGGGGGGGGGGTTGCAACCCCCCCAACCCCCCCTCTAGATCCGCTTCTGAGTTTTGTATTTATTGTATTTTGTATATTGTAATTTAGTTGTTGTTCATACAGTGTATGAACACAGATATTAAGTTGTGAACTTTGCACCCCAGATACTTCCGTTTAATTCCATGTTCATGTTGAATAGTAATCGTTGTTCGGGGAAGAAAAAATTAATTACAATCAAATTGCAATTTTTTTTACAAAATCTAGCACTAGTCTGGTTATGGTGTTGTGTTCTTGATAAATCACTATTAGATCAAATATTTTTTGAAAATATTTTATGAGAAAATCAATTAAGATTTTAATGGTTATTAAATTCATTATGATATTTTACACGTAATTGTTATTTGTTTTACTTGTTATTATATCTTAAACTAAATCATAAGAATTTTTATATTTGATTATTTTGTTAGGCCCACATTAGGACCCCCTCCTTTCTAGCTGCTACCAGCCTGAGCAACTTCCCTTGTGTTTTTAACGATATTTATTTTTGTTTGTTAAATAACAAATTCTGTGTTTTTCTGTGTTTATCTGTGTTAGTAATTGTAATTGTGTGATACTTTGTATATTGCCTTATTTTAACCTGTAAGTTTTTTTTTTTAATGCTTGGCGAAATTAATTGAATTAAAGTGAATTGAATAATAATGTATCGACTATCTAGCCTGTTCATTGCATATTCTGTACCTCTTATTTGCAGATGACCGAAGTGAAGTTGTCACACATCGTTTTCTATCTATCTTCTCTCTCTCTCTCTCTCTCTCTCTCTCTCTCTTTATCAAGGGAACAGTTTGTTCAACCATAAACTACAACCCAAATCCTACCCTTGTATCTTTGACAATATGCCGAAAAGAAAGAAAAAATTGTTTCATGGTACGGGAACATGTCACTAATGCTCTTAGACGAGTATTCAAAACATGTATTGTATAATTTTCTTGTATAAAGGGAGAGGGACTAAATGAAAAGACACAGATTGGAAAAAATGATATGACTCCACATACTTCTGTAATTTATTAATCATATGCACATGTATTCTGCTCAGTTGATCCATAAGAATAATAGCAAAACATTGATCAAGAAAAGGAACGTCAACAGAATTGCTCTACTGCAACGTTTTGAGAGATAGAGAGAGTTTATATATATACTAATACATGACACTATATACTACTTCTAAATAGAAAATGAAAAAGGAAATAAAATACACAAGTCATTTTCATCACGCTGAGAGAGCATGTTATACACAAGATTATAATATGCATTTATCTAGAATATTTTCCATTTGCCAAGATTAATACTTGACTATTAAAAGCAACTACATTCTAGATACTCTTTATTTAAGGATTACATATCTTCCACTTTAAAACTCCAGTACTGAAAAATTCAAAAAGTGAGAAAAAAGAAAAAAAAGAAAAAAGAAGGAATATGTATATAAAATATATATATACGCAGGCACAAAGACAACACACTGTTGGCCATTTGTACTTATAAGCTAACAAAGCATCGTTTTGTGCAGGTCATGTACAAGTGGGTGTTTTTTTTCCTTCTAAACTTTAATTTTTAATGTAATAGTTAATTCACAAATATACCAAGAAATGTCACAAGTCAGTAGTCTATGCAGAGCTTAGTTAGTACAACATCTTTTTCAATAACTATTAATACATGAAGAAAAAGTGGAAAAATATGACGCAGTTTAGTCCTCTTTCATCACATTCTAACAAAAGACACGACAGGGGAAAACATACATAAAGCAGATTACTTAGAGAATTTAACACTGTAACTATCTCATCAATATGAGCATAATAATACCTTGCAGCTAATTTATTCTAAAATTCAATAGTTTAAATCAATAATCAGCAAGTTTCCAAACTTATTTTATGGGAGATTTGAAAGGTTAACTGAAACCTATCACAAACCTTTTGTTATTTACAAACTGAGAACTATTTCATGTCATATTTATTTTTTTAAGTTTGATATTTTCTCTGAAGCCCTTTATTTTCCACGAAGACAAAAATATATAACCCCATCATTCACTATCCAGTTAACAATAATCTATGAATGAACCTTGCCATTAGTAACTTGAGATAAATCAAGGTAAATAAAAATAAGTCTAAATCAATTCTATTTAATTTAAGAGGATAATATACATAAACATAAAGGAGACAGTTGTCTGGCATAAAGCATAGGAGTTTTCATTAGTATGTAACATGGAAAAGAAGCTCAAAAACAGTTAGGACATTTTCGACTGATGAAAATGCAGAAATCACTCTTTATGCTTTACATTCGGACAGAATCAAAGTAGCCAAGTTTCTGTCCTCATCATTCTGCAAATTATCGATCAAACAGTCAAACTTGTTGAAACAATAGGCACACACATTTGTAAATACAAAACAGCACTTAAATTCCAAGCAATTATAGAAGAAAATGACATTGAAAGGGTTGTAGGAATCACATCATACCATTAAACAGCAAAAACAATTATCATTATTATTCTAGAAATAATTTCACTGCAAATACATGTATGCCAAAACAAATACATGTATCTTCGATTTCGATTACTGTTTCATCTTTCTTTGTTTTTTCTTTAATAATCCGCTTTCTTTGATCCTCGTAGAAATGGAATAATTGCTTTTGCTGTTTGGAGGTAAAGTCTGTTCAACTTTTCCCCAAGGCAAGTTGCTTACATATAACTGGGCCATGTTTCATAGAACTTCTTATAAATGTTACAATAAGCGATTCAAGTTAACCGAGTGAAACTGAACTTGAGTGACTGTGAGAAAATTTGTTACATTATTACGATTAATATGATAGCTGTTATTTAGAAGCAGGTTTTATGAAACAAGGCCCTTCAGAGAACAGTTTGCATGGAATGGACTCGTCGAGTGACCAACACACTGCCGTCATTTACAAACAAAGATAAACATAACAAATTAGCAAAGCTCCTGCAAGTATGTCGTAAGCCTCACATCAACTGAGCAAGTAGTGTGCAGGGTCTACAAAATAACATATCCCATAAATATAAGTATATGTGAATGATACAATTATTAGACATTGAGGACGAGCAGTGCATGGGGATTACGATAGAGATATAGACAATGGAGTCTTGGTGTACGTTGACTGCCATCATTGCCATATTCATCACGTTTTCTTAAATTTAGTCTTGAAGATTCACAATCATTATACACTAACACACAACTACCACAGTTTACTTGTACTAGTTATTTACGACAGAACTCGTATAAAAACAATGTACAGTGTATATAATATCGTTTTGCAAACGCCGTGCAACAACTATCATTGCCCCTTGGTCAATCAAATATTCCCGTTTGTTCGGACATAGGTGCTAAATGGTCGTTGACTCTGAGATCACAGAGAGAGGTCAGCTTTCTTACGAGCCGAAATTTTCATCAAACTACTTTCACATTCAAGATCAACAACTTGTGTTTATCTTAAAAATCAACATGGTAGAGCCTGACTGCCCAGAGAGGTCATTTGAAGATCATAGCCAGAGACTATCTTTTTTCTTATAATAAAATAAATTCAGTACCACATAAATGCATTTAAAACTCATAGTCAACCCAGTTAGCTTCCTACCTTGTAGTCTACATTCATTGTGTTAAGTGTACACCAATTACACAAGTAAATAGCCATTCCACTTCCCATACAGCCAAATTCTAACACATTTTGATAAGTTACATTATTACCCTATGAAAGTCTTCCAAAAACCTAATGAATAATGCAAATAAACGACGAAAAAGCACCCTTTTATAAATCTGTTGAGAAGCAAACTCGCATTCTCTCCTTTTTTTTCTTCAGAATTTACAGTAATTTACATCGGTGCAGACATACAGGGAACATGCCACGCACCATGTCCTATGAAGAGGAT